CACTTTAACGTTGATTGGTCAAATATACGAGCAAGTTAAGTTTACGTTTACAACAAAATAAACAAGTTTACAAATCGTTCAGTGAACTCTTTAGGCACAACAATGCCATGTTGTAATTGTAAACCTTTCCCTTCTCAGTCGTACATTTGCAGGATTTCTCCCAGCACTTTATAAGCCAGGCTTTGCTTGGCCACCTGACACGAACGGCACAACAAAACTACAGCCCTCCATCATCTTATACTGGTGAGAAACAGCTGCGGAACGTGTGCAGGGAACTCCAGCAACAAAGGAAGAACCCAGCACATTACAGTCCTAATAAATATACATATTAGAGAAACATTTAAACCAAAAAACTCATCTATGTTACTGACTGTTGATGTTGAATTACATTTCAAATTCCATAGCCATCATCCCACACTGGTGAAATTTATCTCCGCATTTGACCCATCCCGATGAAGGGGAGTGGTGAGCTGCAGCAGTGGCTGCGCTCGGTAACTATTTGGTAGTTTAACTCCCCAATCCAACCCATTAAAGCTGAGTGTCAAGCAGGGAGCTCGGTACCATTTTTAAAGTCTTTGGTATGACCTGACCAGAAATCAAACCTCTATCTCCAAGTTCCAGGGCAGACACTCTCCCACTAGGCCAGGGGTCGGCAACTCGCGGCTCTGGAGCCGCATGCGTCTCTTTCATCCATCTGATGCGGCTCTCTGCTTGTAAAATAATTAATGAATATTTAATTACAATGTATTTTATTTTACTGCATTCATTTTTTATCTGTAGCCAATTCTAAATGTAAAGATTGTCTATGTAAACCTGAACAGGTCATCTGCTTGTGCGTAATCAAATGTCTCTAGGCGCTTTCTGAGCTGAAGAGGATGTGAGGTTCTGGACTGTTCCTCAGACAGGCTCATGGATGCATCGTAGTGTTGGAGACAGGAACAAGCGCTATTAAGCCAAAGATTCATAATCAGGGAACATTTTCTAAGTGACGAGTCTCTCAGAGACCGGGTTTAGAAAACACTGAATCTTCCTGCATGGTTCTGGTTCTGCGATGCGCTCCAAGCCTCCGATCTACACATCTTCAGCTTGCTGTTCACCATACGCATGCGCTGACAGTGAGCTGCGCTGAGCTCAGTGTCCATCTCAAATGTTCTGATGGGAATCTTTTCCTGATTGATGTAGCTACCTCCACGATGTGCGTAACGATAAAAATGTCAGCGCATCTGTAGGCTTGAGATTTCTCTGTCAAAATAAACAATCAAATACGGGAAATATCCCGTCCGTGCGAACCCTGTCATTTAACTGTTTTGCCTTCTTGTGAAGATAGTTGCAAACAGAAACATTAAACCTGATAAACACCAGAGCCACGCACACTGCGCCGTTATCTCAGTCAGTGCAAATGAGGAAAATAACAGAACTGATTGGATCCTTGGGTGTGAAAGGTTCGGGGGGCCACAAAGAAAGGGCTCGCGGGCCAGATGTGGCCCGTGGGCCACCTATTGAGTACCGCTGATGTAGATGAACACATACAATTTAAAGCTTTTTTAAATTTATTTAATATTAGCTCTTCAAGTCATGCTGCATTTGCATTAAAAATGTCATAGAAATTAATGTTACTGAGACAAAAATAATTCTGGCTAAAAAGTCAGGAACTGATGATTTTGGTATTTGTGTTAATTTTTTTAATTGATGTTTTGCCATTGTCTTTGTTTGTCATTAAGGGAAGCCCAGAGACCAGTGTGCATGAGGACCTAAAACTGCGCAGCATGATGATCTACATTTGCCATGATCCAGATGCTGTAGGAATAATCGAGGGAGTGCCGGTGCTCACTAATCTTGGCAGTCTAGCCAAAGCATGCAGCATGCTTCTTGATCTGACATACGCCCTGAACCTCCAATATCCTACCAAACTTGTCAAAACGTTTGAAGTTTTTCAGAGACTTCTTGTGGGTCTTGATACACTCCGCCCAAAACCAAGCTCCAGGTACATGACTGAAAAACAAACTTCTGACCTAGGCAGCCAACTTGAGTGTGGCCCCTACACTTCTGAACAGCAGGTCTGTTGTGTTCGTTCAATATTAAAATGTGTTTGTCAATGACAAAAGGCAATTGTTCCAGATATTGCTCTGGGTTGTCATGTGACAGTTTTTTTAAGCTGAGACGGGTTCTGTTTAAAAGTAGTTTGGATAACACTTAGAAAATTACTTGTTAAATGACTTGTACTTTAAAGTGAAATGTCAAGTATATATTAACAACAAAACACTATAAATTTTGAGAGGTTCAGCTATACTTTATGCAAATGTGTTCATGTATTTTTCGATCAAAATGCTTCCAGATTTTCTGGTGGAAAATGCTTCATGTTGTCATTGACAGAATGAGTTTTGTGAGCATAGGTCTCACACTGTTCCTGTTTTTACTGTGATGTAAATGTTTTACAGTTATATGTGTATGGCTTGTAAAAATCTTTACAAAAGTTGTAAGATTTAAAATTTACAAATACTTGTTAGTATTTACTTCAATGCCACTGTTTCAATGATTTAGGAAAAATAAATGTTGAAAGTGGACTATTTACAGCTTCACAGTATTTATCATTATTTACTCTTTACATTTTAAAAACTGTTTCAGTATTGAAAAGTTGAATTAAATCTAAATAATTTCAATTTTTGGTTTATTTTTTAGAATAACATCAAAGAAAGGTTTCAGTTCATATAAAATAATGAAATTATTAATTTTTCCATAGTCCAAATAGTAAGTTTAACAAACTTTAAAAATTTGTTTGGGAAATGCTGCCTTAATTATTTTTTGAATAATTTAAAACTCACAGGTTTTAGTGTAGAAAAAAGGTGAAATTATTAAGTTGTACCTACTTAAAATAATAGTTAGTTGACCAAACTCAAAAAAATTGTTTGGAAAATGTTGACTTAATTTTTGGGAGTAATTTGAAAGACACAGGTTTTAGTGTAGAAAAAAGGTGAAATTATTAAGTTGTACCTACTCATATTGCTGGTTAGTTGACCAAACTTACAAAATTTGTTTGGAAAATGTTGACCTTATTTTTTTTTTTTGAGTAATTTTAAAGAAACAGTATTAACAGTGCACCTTTCAGCGAAATTCACTGTTTTGAATCCAAAATGGGTCGCCTCCTTGATTCATGCAGATCCGATGAGCTAATATTTGGGGAGGTCTACAATTTTGCCATCTTCAATATTATCCATTGGGGGAAATATTCAAGAAGATTTTAAGACACCCTTAACACCACCAACATGTGAAAAAAATAAATCAGTCGTACAAGCCGCATCTCGTTAAGAAGGTCTTCTGTCCTGTGTGGACCTCCAGTCGGCTCTTCTCCACTTGTACGATCCGAGCCTGAACAGAGTAAGCCCAAAAGGTCAGATCGGACTTAGGTTGATTAATAATTAGAGAGAGAGAGAGAGAGAGGAGAGAGAGAGAGAGAGAGAGAGAGAGAGAGAGAGAGAGAGAGAGAGAGAGAGAGAAGAGAGAGAGAGAGGAAGAGGAGAGAGAGAGAGAGAGAGAGAGAGAGAGAGAGAGAGAGAGAGAGAGAGAGAGAGAGAGAGAGAGAGAGAGAGAGAGAGAGAGAGAGAGAGAGAGAGAGAGAGAGAGAGAGAGAGAGAGAGAGAGAGAGAGAGAGAGAGAGAGAGAGTGAGTTGAATTTATGTTCAAAAGCATGTCTCTGTATTTTATGTCTTCTCAAAGGCAGAAGGTAAACAAAGGCTTTGCTACTCGGAGTTAAAACAAGAAACTCAACTTCATTTGGAATCTGGTTTGTCTGAGCAGGGGCTCATAGAAAACATGCCACCACAGTAGCCTTCAAGGTACAGGTCTGCTCCCCCCTGTTAATGCCTACAATTACTGGCACTTTCACTTGTAGCAGGTTCACTTGCTGAGGAGTGTGTTTGTGGGCGTACCCCGATGTGGAGTTTCCAATCCTGTGTGCGCGCATGTGTGGGTGGGTATCACATTTTTCATGCTTGACCCATTTTCACGTTTGTGTTTTACAAATTAATTAATTGCTGATGGGATTTACCACTGAGGTGGTAAAAAAATACTCCTCAGTGGCAAGGCTCCAGGGGCAGATAAGATCTGCCCAGAGTCACTTAAGGCTCTGGATGCTGTGAGGCTGTGTTGCTGACGCGGTTCTGCAATATTGCGTGGACATCGGGGGCAGTTCCACTGGATTGGCAGACTAGGGTGGTGGTTCCCCTGTCTAAAAAGGGGGACTGCCGGGTGTGTTCCAACTATAGGGGGGTCACACTTCTGAGCCTCCCTGGTAATGTCTATTCTGGGGTTATGGAGAGGAAGGTCCGTCGGATTGTCAAACCTCAGAATCAAGAGGAACAATGTGGTTTTTCATCCTGGCCGTGGTGATTCAAAGTGATATCAAATGAGACAATGAATGGACGCTTATGAAACATGACCTTATATGTTTTAAGAGCTTCACCTAGTGACTCAGAAAGAGGTGATGTCTGGGTTTACAAAAAAAATGGTTGTTTGTTGGAGGTAATTTAAGAAGTTACCAAATTAATATCAACCACTCTGATGCCATCAACTAGCCTACGCACCAGGATAGTGGAAGTTCTTGGGGATCCGGTCTGCAAGCAAAGCTGTTCTCGGCAGAGCGAGTGAATGGACTTCTGTTTCAAGTCTGATGAGTTGGTGGTGGATTGAGCAAATAATTGATATAATAAAGGATGGTTCTTTAAGCCGCTAACATTATTCCACTGAAAACTTTGGTTGATTTCCCATAGGAACTTTTAAGAAGTGTTTATAAACCTTGACCAATCAATCTGAATATTTTGTATATGCATTCACCAAGACACTCAGACACCAGACATTCCTCAGGTAACCAGAATAAGCTGGGTCCACTTAATGTGAAATAAATCTGTTAAACATTCATTTATTATTTAATGGTAATAATATATGGTGGTAACTGATAATAAATCAAGTCAACTCAGAGTATTTAAGATGTGAAAAATGTCATGAACATTTATGTTGATCATTTATTAAATCACTTTAGACAACACATGATTGTAAACAACCTGTAGAATGAAATAAATAATTTTATGAGACCAAAATAATAATTTTAGTCAGAGTAATGTCTCGTCCTCTGCATGAACCTTGGAGGTGCAGCTCAGATAAGGGAGTCAGGAGAAAGAATTTATTAAGGCTACCTTCTGGTGCAAGGTTACAGACAGCCTGTGTCTTGAGGTGAAAAGCACACAGTTAACGCTTGATGAAATCAAGGTCTGGTGACCTCTGACATTACAGTGGACAAATAATCTTGTTGGACTTTTCCAATGCTACACAGCTGAATAAGGAGCGCTAGTTCATCTGATCTAGCAGGAAAAAAGATGGCAAACCTGTTAAGTTTTACTTGGACTGATGTGATTTTTACACAAAAAGATTAATAGCTCAGAAAACATCTCTTGATATAAAACAATATGAAATCATTAATGCAGTCAGTATGAACTACCACAAAGTGCTTTGGATTCTTCTGAAATCTTGATGAATTCCTCACTTAAATTCAAACATTTATCCATCAATAAAATATTTCCTGGTTTTTATTCCTATTCAAGAATTTAGCAGGTGTGTCCCTCGGAGCATTCTTTCATCAAGGCACTTCTGCAAACTTCTTTCATGTTAATTTATTTATGAAAAATAACACATAAAAGATCAACCTGAAAGCAGCGTCATCTTCCAAGAAAACCCTTAGGACTTACTACTCCTTAGAAACAAGGCACCCAAGAGAAATGCCACAAAATCTAAATCACCCACATGTTGGTCGGATTATTCTTCCCCAAGTCAAGTCCAGATAGGATCACTGGAGGGCTGTCTCTGTCCAGGTGAGCACTTAGTACACCAGATACTTGAGTTCTGAGTAGATGAGTGGAAACATGACGGTGCAGGCCCGGTACAAGATGGCTGCACTTTTAAACACAGCTCTGTGTTTGGTGAACCAGGATTCAGACTTGAAGTTAAAGTAGGTGGCATACAACGCCACGGCAAAGAAGTGTCCAATCAGGGTCATGGGTCTAGGAGTTAGCCTGAAGACACAAAAAAAGTGTTAGTCTTCAAACTGGGGAGAACTTCTTTTTACTACAGTAACCTTACTAGTGGCTTTTACCACTTTCAGACTGAGAATGAACACTTGTTTTTATACATTGTTTTGCAAAATTTAGCAAGATGTGTGTAGGTGGTGGTGGTGTGGGGTGTGGGGGGGTGGGGGGGACAGTTTCTAAAGTATATAAAACTCCAGTTTAAAGTAAAATATTTGGTGTGAGGATCCTTTTCCTTCAAAGCAGCATCAGCTCCTCCATACAACAATAACTATAAAAGAAGGTTGTTGTAACCATTGATCTAATGTCTGAAGCCACTCCCAGGTGAAGAAGGATCTATTATCCCTCCAAAGAGTTCTGGATCTATCCAGGTGTCTCCTTCCAGTTGGAATTAACTGGAAAACTTCCAGAGACAGACAACTGGGAGACATGCCAGACCGACCTCAGCCAATGCTACTCTTCCATCTGTGAAGATGATCCCATCAATCCATGGAAGAAGCTTATTCTATCTGCTTGTATCCATCTTCTCATGGTCATGATTCATGCTCACAAGAGTTGGAATGCAAAAGGACCAGTAGATCAAGATAGTCTCCTTTCTTTACCACAAAAGGCCAGACAAATACCTGATCTGGTGGTCCATCTTTCCGTCACAAAGATCATGGAACCCAGAACTGTTTTAAACACTTTATTTGGTTTGTCACACATCTGAGTTTAATCTCTGACTTTCTGCAGAAGAACTGATGCTGTTTCAAAGGTAAAATCTGATCAAACAGAAGAAGCTCCTGGTGGGTCATTTTACACTTCGATAAAAATTTACTTTATATGTTTTTTTTACTGTATTTTTCAACTCAAGATTTGCACTACATAAAATGTAGGAAACAAAATATTATTTGTTTGTTTCAGCTTTAATATTGCCAGCATTAGAAAACTTGTAACAGGTAACTGTCTGAAAAGACCCTTCAAACTCATGTCTGTACAAATCAAATTAGTTTGTCTCCTGAAGAGCTTCTCAGGGTTTAGTCAACAGGAAACAGGTACCAGTAGCATGTGTTCTAGCTCTAATGAACACTGGTTGTACGTACACAGAGAGGAGTCCAATGGGCCCTGTGATGCACTCTCCACCAAGCTTAAAGTACTGAAAACAGGCCTTTCGTAGTTCATGGAGAGAATCTAATTAAAACAAATGAGAACATGAGTACAAAATGAATGATTTTTGTTCAACAAATATATAAGCCTTTATGTGATTGTATTAATAAATGCAGATGGAAACTCACCGTCAGAGGCTGAAAACAGCTCATACAGGGCCTGGGCCAGCACGTTCACAACAAAAGAATGTGAGGACTTCCGCTTCCAGTAAAAGTTTCTCTTTGCCTGTTGAGATGAGGAGAGAACAATGAGGGTTTTACATTAAAGTGGTGAGATTTGCTCAAAAAAATGACAGCAACACCTTAAACACATAAAATGTCCTCTCATTAATGCCAACATTGATTTGCTAATTGGGACAAAAAGGTTAATGGAACCATGGGAGGTGATCAACAGCAGAGATGTAGGACTATTTGCAGTAGAACCCTCCTGGGTTGGGTTATTAATGGACCTTTATATGGAAACAAGACTGACCAATGTAAGAATGGCTGCATTGTAGTATATGTTAACCACATTGAAATTAATTCACTGGAGCACATGTTAATGAATCAACACAGACATGCCTTCAATTAAAGTTTCTGTAATGAAATGGAGGAAATGTCTGAGGAGGAAAACTGGTTTGCGACCATAAAAGAAAAGTCTGTTCAACTTGATGATGATGGACACAAACTAAACCTGCCTTTCAAGAATGAAAACCCAAACATGCCCAACAACCTTACTTTAGCAAAACCAATGCATGAAACTACTAAGCAAAACATTTCAGAGAAAAAGTTTTCATGAAGAGTTTGCTAAAAGACACGTGAAGGACCCTGAGATGGTGAGAAATATGATTTTCAGGTCTGATGAGACCAAGATAGAACTATTTGGCCTTAATTTTAAGTGGTATGTGGGTATGTAGAGAAAACCAGGCAGTGCTCATTACTTGTCCAATACAGTCCCCACAGTGAAGCATGGCAGTGGCAGCATCATGATGTGGGGTTTATTTTAGCTGCAGGGACAAGGTGACTGTTTGCAATCGAGGCAACGATGAATGCAGACAAGTACAGGCATATCCTGAACAAGAACCTTCTCCAGAGTATTCAGGACCTCAGACTAGGCCGGAGCTGTGTGGTGCCCTGAATATTTTCCGTACACAATGTATTGCTATCATGGAAGATATCCAAGCAATGTTTCACCAAGCTGAGGTGGCAGATGACAACTTGAACTTTTTAAGATTTTTGTGGTGGCAAGATGGAGATTTACATAAACCATGAACTAGTACCTTATAATATATGACTGTGCATATCTTTGTTACATTTGCTCTGCGTTCCTCATCTAATTACATTTTCTGGTTCTGTATGCTTGTACAAAGTGTAAATAGAGCTTGTTACTACTTTTTTGCTGACAAGTTTCAGCAAGCGTTAGTAGTCTTCTTCAATGTTGGTGGCATCACTTTCGTCTCCATTTCTATGCTGGCAGCAGAGGATGATGTCACCCTCTACTGCCCGTGCCCTCCTCACTGATGACCATGTACTATGAACGGTCCAGTGTGTAAAACCATTAATAGAACTAATAGCAAACTCTACATAGTTCAAATATGATGAAACCATTTACAAACAACTGGAAGGCTTTACCATGTAAACCCCACTAACCGCAACTCGGTGAATTTTTCATGAAAGACTTAAGAGAAAAAGGCAACAACTAATATATATGAGCATAGATGGAAATGCTGGCTGGACGATCTAAAATGGACAAAGATTTTACAGTAAGAGGATGTTTCAAACCTGAAACAGCTCAAATGGATAATTATGCTGATATCAGTAAAAATGCATACGGCACAGGCACCCAATGTTACAAAACAACATTAACAGGATCTATACTGTTTTAATTCCTGGAAAATGTCGGGGTTTTCCACTCAAGCAAATTACAAGTTCACGTCTGGAACTGACAACTGTAGTTCTTGCTGTCAAAGTGGACAAAATGCTACACTCAACTGAAACTAGTGTCAACGCAATATTAGACTGGCAGTGCAACAGTAATGAAGAACTTGAAAACTGAAAGACAAAAGATTCCACACCTTTGTAGGCAACAGAATCAACATGATCAAAGAAGCCTCTAATATTGCAAATTGGAGGTACATCCCATCATTACAAAACTTTGCAGATCTGGTCACAAAGGGCCAAAAAATGGATTGTTTGGCTATAAAAACGGCTCACAGGTCAAAGTTTTTTGTACAGGAAAGAAGAGGAATGGCCCATTCGTCATCTTCAACTAACAATTGAAAACAATCTACAGCTCAAAAGAAATGTGGCAGTAAATGCAGTTACTGTAGAATGCTCTGCTACTCATAAACAAATCACATTCTATTTCAGTTGGAAAAGGCTAAAAGCTTTTGTTACATGGATTCTAAGATTAAAAGACATTTTTGAGCCTCTGTAAGAAAAGAAAGGGGTTGCAAACCTTCTACAAAGAAGGGCTACACACTATATTGTGTAAAATAGAAATGGAAGTGGATTTTCAATGACCACCCCATTACAAGACTATCTGATGATCCCAATGATTTGGAACCACTTATTTCAGTTTTTTGCTGAAATAAAAATCAGTTCTTCCACCTGGATCATTTAAGAAACCTGATCAAAATCTAAAGATGAAAGCAGATCTAATATCTTGGCAGTCGCAAACAAATCTAGGTGTCACCGGACTGGCTAACTTTGGGCAACGGCCCACTGGGAAATGCCGGTACTCCAGATGGCCAATCGACCCCTGGTGGAAACAAGTGAATGTTAGAATTTATGGAGAATTCAATTTTTGAATACTGGGGATTGAAACTACATTTAATTCTCTTTTTTGAGGAACAAGTAAAAATAATAATAACCCTTTTATTTCAAAGAAAAGACTGAAGAGCAGTAATTTTATGTGCGTCAAACTATCCATCACCACTGTTCATCACCACTGGTGGATGAGCTTCTACTGGAAAAACTTTGGCTCCACTTGTATTAATTATTTTAATGTAACTTATTTACTTACCTTATGACAATTTCAATTATAACTATAACACATTACATTCCTTTTTAACAAATTCAAGACTTCCTTTTGATGTTTATTTCAGTGAAGTAGGATTTTAAGCTGAATATAAAAATAAAGTAGAACACAAAAGCGTTCCTTTAGTTCACCTGCAGCAAAGCCACATCATCATTCAGATCTGGGATCTTTCTGAGCAAACACCTCCAGATGCAAATGTCATTGAGAGCAACACTCATTCCTCCCCCCGTCAGAGGGTGTCTCATGTTGTAGGCATCACCCAGGAGTAAAACACCTGGAAAATAAAGAAATATTAGTTTTAGATCTAATGTTTACTTATTTTCAAACTACCAAACACTTTCAAAAACATTTCATATTCAAATATTTAAAAAACAAAATACCAGAACCATATATTCATACACAAGTCAACAGCTGGCACTCAACTGACTTGAATAGTGTCAGAAAAGATGTTTTTCTATTTTCAGCTAGAGTAAGTTAAATGAGGTAACCCTGGTTTCACACTGAAAGCATCAGCGGGTCGAAATGGTGGTCCTTTTCACACCAGGAGAGTCTTGGCAGCGGCACGGCTTCCTCGCTGTGCTCTTTGCTGGACTCGCAATATCACAAGATCCCTCGAGACTTCAGGTCACGGTTTATCTATGTAATCTGCCATTAAACCACAAAGAAGGAAATTACGTTGTATGATGTGATTTATGATATTGTTCCTCTCCACTGCCACGATTAAAGCCATGAAAAACACACTGCTGCACTTCTGGAACGATGCTGTGAGTAAATAAGCCATTGGGTCACACGTAAGCTTCATAAATATGAAATTGCATTGCTGCAGTACTTTTATTTTGAAAATTACCGGGGATTTTACACTGAAATTGTGTGTGATTTCCTGTCTAGCCCTATGTTAACTGCTGTTTTCCCTGGAGATAGAAGCAGTGGCGTAGCACCAAATTCTGGGCCCTAGGTACAAGTCATCTAGGTGGGCCCCCATGCTCACTTCTTTAATGTCTTTGTGCATATTTTTTGTCATGCTATCAGAGAAGATAATAAATATGATCTTAGTTTAACCTCTATATTGAGCAAATACAATCACAGTGCTATCTGCATGGGTGTCAGAAGCATAAAAAATATGGAGAGCACAAAAAAATAAAAATGGTGTAGCTATCATTTCCTGCATTCTGGTGTATTTACACAGGTTGTTACACCTATTTTACCTACAGCAGTAAAACCTTAATTCAACAACTATTGTTCAGCACAAACCTCTCGCTGTTTAATGCAGAAAATATGAAAACACAAAAAAGACACCTCTAATAAAATGCTGATTGTGTGTTTATAGTATGTTTATTCTTATTGTTAATAAGAATACCAGCTGGTGGCTATGGACTGAATTTAAATTTAAGTCTCCATTTTAACATTTAATAACAACCCCCCATCTTTGTTATATCTCTGTTTTACAAAGCTACAATTTCATTTATCCCAGTCTTAATAGCCAAATGGAAAATACAGATTTCAACAAGTATTTTAGTAGTAGAAATTGTATGTATCCAACAACTGCACTGATTTGAGACATACTCAAATCCTTAAAAAAAATCTAAGCAACAGATCAATGTTTATTATGCAGTGTTACAGACATCTATGAATCTGTTGTTCCAAGTACATTTTCATATTCCAGATATTCATGATAAAATTTTTACTATCCATAATGAACACTTCATATTTCTTAAATCTAATCATTCTTACGACAAATGATATCACATTTCCCATTCGTGTGTAATGGGTTTGCTGCACAAGACTGAAGTTCTGCTTATCTGAAATGAAAATAGTTCTAGTTTAAATGTAAACTAGAACTATTTTCAATAGTTCTAAAAATAAAAATATTTTATCAACACACACACACACACACACACACACACACACAAACATTATGGGGAGAAGAAAGTTTCAAAAGATCTGTGCATGTGTGTCTAGATTTGTGCGTGTGTATCTAGATTTGTGTGTGTGTGTGTGTGTGTGTGTGTAACTAAAGATGTGTAACTTGTGTTTATATTTTCGCGTGTAACTTCAGCTCCTACACATACAAATAATTGAATACACACACAAAAATCCCCTGGTAAACTACATTACACACAGATCAGTTTACAAGTACAAAAATTCTTTTGAGACTCTTTTCTCACCTGACTGATTTGTGCGTACATGGTGCATTTGAATGCTGGGTGGAAGTTGGGAAATTTGAATTTCCTTTGGAATTAGTATAAATATGTTTTTCTGTGGAAAAATATAGTATCTGTTACGAGCCCTGGGTTTTGCTGTCCCATCCTGAGAAGGTCCAGCGGCCCCATGGTCTCTTAAGGCTCGTTCTGTCTATGCCCAGAGGATCAGCACCCTGGAGAGCAGCGCTCCAGCTCACACTCAGCATGATCAGCACCATGGAGAGCAGCGCTCCAGCTCACACTCAGCATGATCAGCACCATGGAGAGTGACACTCCATGGATCCTACCAGGCCCAGCTGGAGCAAATCAGCTCTTGATGAGCTGCCTTTAAAGACTTGTGTTTGTCACCCATTCGAGAAGGGTGTCAGATTCTGTCTGGTGCTCTCCACAGCCACAGCTACAGGGAGCTTTGTTCAGGAGAGACTTGGTGACTGGGATAAGTTCCCTTTGTGTTATGAGCTTTTATGAGCTGAAATGAACGTTTATGCTCTATATGTGCCTTTTTGAGCTCTTATGAGCTCTATCAGCTTTGGCTGTGTCTGGTTGTTGGCTCACATTGTTTAGTAGTTCCTGCCTTAAGATTTACTCACTTGCTAACCATCTCTTTCTAGTTTAATCTGTGTTGTGTTTTATAGCAACCACCTTTAGTTATATCCAGTATATTTAGTTTAAGAACCCTTTTTGCGTTTGCCCTCTACCTTTTGTAGAGGGGCAATCTAGGTTTAATAAACCTTTTTCAAGCAGAGGCTACGCCTTTTTCATTATTTCCTTTGGTGTGGATCTGTTTTAACTGTGTTACCCCCTTCTAGGATCTCCTAGCCTGGGAAGGGATGTAACATTTAATTTTTAATCATCTAAAACTGTTTATTTAGACGTATGTGTTTGTGAGCCATGAAAACGTAGTCAAAAGTTTAAAAGAAATTACTAATAAATGACAGAGTAACTCTCTGATTGGAAAAAGCAGGCTTCAAACCGGAAGAAGACACAAGAAGATGGTGCAGTGTCCTGGTGATCTTTCCTCTGAAGTAAGTAAAAGTAAATCCAGTATGCTTTGCAGTCAGGTTATAATGAGACAACTATTATTTTAGTCAATTTAAGATGTTTTATAGGTCTGAAAGATTGGCACACTGTCCCCAGACAAGGAAGTGGCTCTTGGGCAAGTTTCTGTGTGTGCACAATAATAAACTATTTAAATGAAAATTAATGATGGGTGTTTCAACCACACCAGTCACAGGTTTATGGTGGTTCTTTCCTCCTGAAGAAAGGATTTGAAGTTCGCTGAACTTACAGCCATTTTCCCTCAGTTTTCTCTGTTTCTGGTTTGATGACGTCACTTCCGTGAAGCACATTTGTACTCCTGGGTTTGTTTTCACACTAAACATAAAATAGTGTTTCCCCTCGTTCAAAAATAAGCAAGTTCTAGGTATCAAAATGTGTCGTTAAAATTCACAGACATCATATGTGAAATCCATGGCACATAACAAGTGGAATTAGAAAAGAGCATTGCATTGACTTGCATTCATTTTTTAATTCTTCCAGGGCCCGAAAGTAGATGTATCACTTAGGCGCCCTATGACTCCGTACCATCTTCTCATGCCTTCTCTGCTTTTGAACCCTGCTTTTTTTCAGTCAGAGAACCACTCTGCCATTTATTAGTCATTTCTTATAACCCTTTCATTATGTGTTCATGGCTCACAAACACATATGTCTAAACAATTTTTGATTATTAAAAATTAAATGTAGGTCTCTTTTATAACTACAGGATCCTGAGATACTATATTTTTCTACAGAAAAACATATTTGTCCCGTCAACACAAGTTTAGACTAAATCCAAAGGAATTTTTAATTTCCCAGCTTCCACCAAGCATTCAAATGCGCCATGTACGCACAAATCAGTCAGGTGTAAAAAGTCTCAAAAGGATTTTTGTACTTGTAAACTGATCTGTGTGTAATGTAGTTTTGTTCGTGTGTACCAGATTATTTGTGTATGCGTATTCAATTATTTGTATGTGTAAGAACTGAAGTTTCACACGAAAATGTAAACAAGTTACAAATCAAGTTACACACACAAATTTAGATACACACACAAATCTAGATACATACACACAAATCTAGATACACACACACACAAATTTAGATACACACACACAGATCTTTTGAAACTTTTTTCTCCCCATATACATACATACAAACATACATGCATTGTTATGAGTTGTTTCTTTTTATTCAGGATTTTGTTTCTGTTACTGGTTTTCTGATCTGTTTCTGTGTTTTGTGCAGGTCAGCTGCAGCTCCTTCCAGGTTCCCCGCCCGCCCGTCGGCTTCTCCGGAGTGTTGCAGCTGACTGCAATTGCCCAATTACCATCCTTACTTAAGCCACTGTTTTCCAGCCCTCACTGTGGCATTGTCTTTTCTGTATTGCTTGATAGAGCCAGTGTGCCTTCGTGTTTGTTACTTCTGATGATTTTTCCCCATGTGTGTGGTGAATTTTGGTTAGTAAAACACCCTGAACCAGAACCAAGGCTTGTTATTCCTGCGATTGGGTTACTGCCTGAACCCCACCATGACATACATACATCCATTATATCATAATTTAATTCATTGTTTCATGGTCTGTTCATCAACATTTTTTTTCTGTCAACCTCACCTATTAAAGTCGGTGGGTGGAGCTAATTCTGATAACAAAGATGGCAGCTCCCTTAATGAAAGATTTACAAGTTGGTAAGATATTTTAAACCTAACAGATAAAACAGAAGTTGCTGACCCAGAATCTGTGGTAAAACAAAGGAATTTAATGAGGAATTTCCACACAGTTTAATCAAGCTCTTGACAGTAGTGCTTCATCAATACAGGGTGTTACATAGAAATGTGCAACACCGCCAAAACTGTGAAAGAAATAAAAAAGAAAAGAATCTTTTATATAGCGCCTCTCAAGATAAAAAATCACCAGGTGCTTCACAGAAAAATAAATATATAAAAAGATTTCAAAAAAAGATTTAACCCTTACCTCACATTAGAGCATTTTTTGTGCTCTAATGACTTTAACGTTAGAAAATTTAAACGTTGGGTAAGG